GGTCCATCCTAACTTCCGTGGTAGCGCTCTCTGAGCTTGAGGACGGGCATCCCTGCCCCAGCATCGCCAAATGCACTGCCGCAGCCCCTCCTGCCCACCTGGGGGCGCCTCCCGGTGTCCGGGCGGGGCTCAGCGGCGGGATGACAGTCCAGGGACGGAGCAGAGTGTTCAGGAAGGAGCCGGGATGCTGGCCAGCGAGGCTCCGTGGCCGTCCGGGATCACTGGACACTGGGTGCAGCGCGGGCAGCAGGTCACTCTGCTTGGAAAGACCGCTGCCTCTGTCCTCCCACGTCCCCTCCTCAGAGAGGGCGTTGGGTGTGAGCCCTCTGATTCCATGTGGACAGCACGACGGGCAGAGGGCATCCCCAGGCATGTCTGTGCCCGCTGCCTGAGGACGGTGTGGGTGACGTGCCCGTGGCCCGGGAGACTGGGAGCTCTTGCCCCGCGACCTCGCACAGCTCTCGTTGTCTGCATCTTACAGAGGAGAGAGCGAGACCAAGGGGAGCACCAGCCAGCGAGGCTGGCTGCTCCTTCCGTCTGAGTGTGAGGTCACCTCAGGTCACCAGCATGTCCCTCTTAGACACCTATGAGGGGCCGGTCCTCCCAGGAGAGCTGGAGTGGAGACCTCAGCACACACTGAAAAGCAAGAAGACCCGTGAGGAAGTTGGGGCAGCTATAAGACATGTGCATGGGTGTTTGCACATGTGTGTGCATAGGTGTTGATGCATGTGTGTGTGTGTGTGTGTGTAGGGGGGAGTTTGGGGGCTGTCTCTGCCAAACCCGGGCCCACATCTGCACCTTGTTTGCTGAGTATTAATTCCTCCCCGTCCACTTCCCCTTGGTTGAATCTGAAACGAAAATGACTCAGCAGAAAGGCAAGCCGCACCCTACGCCTGAGGGAGAACATGCATGGTCCCCCGCCCCCAGCCCTCGTCACCATGGGCACGGGCTGGGCTCTGCTTCGACGTCTGTTACCTCGGCCCTTCCCATGGCCTCGGGCCCCCCTTCCTCAGGGAGGCATCCGTGCAGGTGGGGGCCCCCTGGGGCCACACGTCCTTCCTGGAGGGCCTGCCCTTCCTCTCTGGCCCCGCCGCTGGGGTTGGGACTGGTGTTCAGATCCGGGGAGACGAGCAGTGCCGTGCGGCGCCTGCTCTGGGGGGTAACCTGGCTGAGGCCCGCTCCTGCCTGGAGGTTTTGCTGTTGGAAGGCACCGCCCTGGTCCTTGGGGAAAGGGGAGAATTGTCCATTGGGGGGGCTCCCTGATGGGGGTGAGCAGACGGAGCACGTGTGCACTCTGGGTGCGATGTGACGTGTGCTGCGAGGAAACTGTCCCCTGAGGACTGAGGGCTGGCGGAGGGAGGGGGCGGCGGGAAGGGGGTTCAGCAGTTTCCTAGTTCGGCTTCAGAGGAAAAGACGGTTGTTCATACTCGGACTTCGGGAGAGAGAGCGCCATGCCCGGGGCATTGCTCAGGTGTGAGGCCCTGAGGCCCAGGGCTCCCCTTCTGTTAGAACAAAAGCCCCCAGGATCTGCTCCCCATGCTAAGTCTGAGTGACTCTGAGCTGCTCCTGCAAATACGTGAGGTTACTCACAGCTACGCCTCGGGCGCCTTCCCTGTGCATCTAAACCTCTGCCTCCATCCCCCATCAGCCTCCATCTTCTCTCTGTCCAAACACCCTGCGCCGTCCATCACCTCTCTGTCCAAACACCCAGCGACAGCCATCACCTCTCTGTCCAAACACCCTGTGCTGTCCCTTACCTCTGTCCAAACACCCCTCAGTGTCCATCACCTCTCTGTCCAAATACCCCGCGCTGCCCATCACCTCTCTGTCCAAACACCCCGCGCTGCCCATCACCTCTCTGTCCAAACACCCCGCGCTGTCCATCACCTCTCTGTCCAAACACCCCATGCCAGCCATCACCTCTCTGTCCAAACACCCCGCACTGCCCATCAACTCTTTGTCCAAACCCCCACCCCCGCCGTCACCTCTCTGTTCAAACACCCCGCACTGCCCATCAACTCTTTGTCCAAACACCCCGCACTGTCCATCACCTCTCTGTCCAAATACCTCGCGCTGCCCATCACCTCTCTGTCCAAACACCCCACGCCAGCCATCACCTCTCTGTCCAAACACCCGGCGCTGCCCATCACCTCTCTGTCCAAACACCCCACTCTGTCCATCAACTCTCTGTCCAAACATCCCGCGCTGCCCATCACCTCTCTGTCCAAACACCCCACTCTGTCCATCAACTCTCTGTCCAAACATCCCGCGCTGCCCATCAACTCTCTGTCCAAACACCCCGCGCCAGCCATCACCTCTCTGTCCAAACATTCGGCTCTGTCCATCACCTCTTTGTCCAAAAATCCCGCGCCTGCCGTCACCTCTCTGTCCAAACACCCCGCACCGTCCGTCACCTCTCTGTCCAAACACCCCGCGCTGTCCATCACCTCTCTGTCCAAACACCCCACGCCAGCCATCACCTCTCTGTCCAAACACCCGGCGCTGCCCATCACCTCTCTGTCCAAACACCCCACTCTGTCCATCAACTCTCTGTCCAAACACCCCACGCTGTCCATTACCTCTCTGTCCAAACACCCGGCGCTGCCCATCACCCCTCTGTCCAAACACCCCGCGCCAGCTGTCACCTGTCTGTCCAAACACCCCGCGCTGGCCGTCACCTTTCTGTGCAAACACCTTGCTGCCTTCCATCATCTCTCTGTCTGAACACCCAATTGCAGCCATCACCTCTCTGCTGCCAGCTATAACCCCCACCTGCCGCTTCACCCTCCTGTGATCCTTCTCCGCACGTCCTCAGCCACCCGCTCGCTCTGTACCTGCGCTCACTGCCGCCATGACCACAGACACCACCTGTTTGGAGACAGCTGCCGGGTTCCCCAGGTGCCCAGAGCACCGCCCCCCCCAACCCCCCGCCCCAACTGTGTCTCAGGGCGGGAGCTCACAAGAGAGATCTCCCCAAGTTTCGTCATTTACAAAACATTGCACCAGCAGCCTCAGCCCCCCCCTCCACACTCTCACCTACATGTGCCGTCTCTTATTTGTATATATATTTTAAAAATAATTTTATTGATTTTTTACAGAGAGGAAGGGAGAGGAATAGAGTTAGAAACATTGATGAGAGAGAAACATCGATCAGCTGCCTCCTGCAGGCCCCCTACTGGGGATGTGCCCACAACCAAGGTACATGCCCTTGACTGGAATCGAACCTGGGACCCTTCAGTCCACAGGCCGATGCTCTATCCACTAAGCCAAACCAGTTTCGGCTCTTTGTATATTTTTGAACAATGGCCGTTCCGCCGGGTCTGAGGTGGTCTCTTGTGCTTTGGACTTGCATTTCCTGATGGTTAGCGATGCTGAACATCCAGAATCACCTGCTGCCCACTCCTGTGTCTTCCTTGGAGAAATGTCTAACTCCTGAGCCTGTCGTTTGCTTTTACTTTCGGGGTTGATTGGGGACGCTTCCACACGCTCTGGGAAGTCCTCTCTTGCAGACATTCGGTTCCCGAGGTTTGCTCCCATCTCAGAGGCTGCTTTTCTGTCTGCTGGTGGCTCCTTCGCGGCAGGAGCTTTTGGTTTGTTTGTTTTGTTGCCTGTACGTTTGCTGTGATATCTATCAAGTCAGTGCCAAGACCACCGCCACGAGCTGGTCCCTGCTTCCTTCTGAAGGTCCTACAGTGTCCGGCTTCCATTCTGAGTCGCGTTCGCGTGGAGCAGGGCACCGCTTTCTCAGCACCCGTGGCCCAGCCGGGCCTGTCCTCGCGTCCCTGGCTCCTTTCTTGAAGATCTCTGGGCCACGGCCTCGATGGAAACAGTAGAAAGATGCTAACAAATAAATAAAACAAAGCCACCGGGGCCACCCAGCCATCCTTCTGCTGGGCATTTGTCCAAAATGACAGCAACGAGGGCCTGAGGGCAGCTGCTCACGCACGCCCCACAAAGCTACTCAGAGCCACGCGGTGGGATGGCCTGTCCCGGCAATGACGGGTGAGGGCCGTGTGTATGTCCGCGCAGCCGAACGCTGTCCAGCCTTAAAAAGGGCCGTCTGCACGGCCCCGGGGCCTTCGGCACCTTGTGGCATGAGCCAGTCACAGAGACTGACTCCGCTCGCTGCTGCTGCTGGTCCCGGGTGGCTGCCGGGTGGCTGCCAGGTGCCGCGGGGACAGCAGCGTCCTGGAGAGCTGATGTCCTTGTGCATAGGGTCCCCTCTTCGGCCGTCGGGAATCTCTCCTTGGTTTCTGGTCCCTCTGACACCCCTTCGTTTTGTGAGTGTTGCTCCCTCAGCTTCCAACACCAGACGTCTCAGGCGTGTCTTGTCCGTCTCCTGCCCTGGCCCAGAGCAGCGATGGTGTTCAGCACAGGTCTGCTCGGGGAGTGTGCTCATTGCTCTTGGGGTGTCGTTCTCCTCACCCTGTCCGCTGACAAAGCGCAGACACATCCGTGTGCGTACCGCCCGCGTGTGTCATGTCCACAAATATTTCATTAAGGCGGCGTGGTTCATGCTGACGTCTCCGCTCCGACCCTCCTGTTGGTTGTTCTGGGGGGACTGCACATCCCAGGCCCTGGCCCGGCCCGGCTGCTGAGTCCGGGCAGGGCTGGCCTCACACTGTTTCAAAGGCAGACAATGAACATCACGGAATATTTTTGTTTAATGTCGGTATTAGTATCAGAATTATGAAAATATTCTAAGTGTAAGTTTTACTGTTTCATCACTCACCACTTGGGTAAGTATTAACCTTCGGGCGGCTCTGTTTGCTGCCTATAGTACCGTATGAGCGTCCCCATCCCAGGAGCGTGCGAACTAACAGTGTGAGAGTCTCATTGTGTGACTAGCGCATGTTCTACTCTCAGGGCCTACGGTTTGAAGCTCTCAGTACAGAAACCAATGCTGTGGAAGCATGGGGCTCGGGCCCAGGTGCCCTGGTGTGGGCACGCTCACTCACGGCTCTCCTTCTCTCTCCCGTGCCCGCCGTGGGTTGCTGCAGGTCCCTCGCTGCCTCTGAGATGGCTCCGCCCCCCAGAATGCCCTCCGCGCTGCTCCTGCTGCTGCCCATCTTGAGTTCTGCAAGAGCTCAGGTCAACCCAGGTAATGGCGTCGCTCAGCTGAGCCTGACAGGCCGGCAGGATGGGGGGTGTGGGGGTCACAGCAGGAGCAGAGGGAGCCCACTCCCACTGGGGAGAAGCACGGGGAGACCTATCAGAGTCGGGGAGAGGCAGCAGCCACGGGCATGCACCAGTAGAGCCGGAGCCATGGCCGGCTCAGGCTGCGGTTTTCCTGGTGGGTCTGCGATGGGTCCTCCTTCCTGCATGTGTGGCGTGCTCAGCAAGAATCGTCTCAGGAGGAGGCGATTAGCCCCCATGTTTTCATTGCATGTATTTTAAACTTCACATTGACATAGACAATGGCAGCACCTGCCTGTTACCATGGTGATGCGCCTGGCCACCTGGGGTGGTGGTGACAATCGGGCCTGGATGGACCGTTCTCTGAGTTCCTCTTGGTCCCCCACAAACCTGGGGCGGGCTGGCACTGCCCGTCTCCGTGGCCTGGCTCTGAGGACCGGATGCTGCTGTGCCCCAGCTGGTGTGGGTGCATTGCCGCGGACATGGCTTGGTGGCCAGAGCAGACGCGGGGAGTGCGACACCGCCTCGGCCAGCCTGTCGTGGGCCTGGGGGCCCAGGGTGGGAGGGCCAGGGCACAGACACCATTCAGGGTGCGAAGGATCGGAGCTGCGTGTGCACCGGCCGCCGATGCAAACCTGGGAGAGCAAACACGCAGGTGCTCCCCATGCCCCGGCCCTGCCTGGGCCTCAGCCCCAGGTCAGCAAGTGGCCACATGCCCGTGCCCCCAGCCCGAGCCTCCTCGCGGTGAGTCTGCTGGCTGTGCGCGCCCGTCAGGCCTTCAGGGCACGGGGCACGCATGCGCCTGGCTCTCCCTTCAGTGTTGCCGTGTGTGCAGGGGACTGTCGTGTTGAGTGTCGTGTGTCCGGGCCCCGTGGTGGAACAGGGCCTTCGGGTGCGGCCGTTACGGGGAAGCTCCCGACCGAGCCCTGCAGCCTGTCGTGGGTGGGGGCGCTCATTCTCCTGGGCGCAGCCTCAGAGGGACTGTCTGGGTTTCGTGTCACCGGGGCCATCTTGCACTCCGCTGTGGGTTTCCCAGACCCTTTGCCTGTTCGCGGCTGCGCAGCGTGAGGCTCTGCTCCGTCTGCACTTCCGCACTAGGACCTGAGAGCATTTTCATTTTCTTGACTTTTTACTGAATGTATTGGGGTGACACTGGCTAAACAATCATCCAGTTTCAGGTGCACAATTCCACCACACACCGTCTGCCCATCACCACTACCCTGTGCCCCCTCTCCGGCCCCTCTCCTCTCCCCGGCCCCTTCCCCCTCCCCTCCTCCTCCCCTAAGAGCCCATTTCTATGTTGTTCCCTCACTTAACAGCAGTCACTTGTGAGCGCGCTCACCCCTTTTCCTCGCGGAAACCCCGCCTCCACGGGCGGGCTTGAGCCGCAGGGAGGGTCATGGACGCACCTCACGCTCAGGACGCGCTGAGCAGCCCGCCAGCGCCTGGCTGTGCTGCGGGGGCCCCTCTCTCCTGTTCTGCTCCCACCATGGGGGGAGGGGTGGCTCCTGCCCACAGACAAGCCTGCTGCTGTCATTGTGTTGCTGTCCCTGCTCTGGCCGCCAGGAGAAGCCTGTGAGTGACAGCTCGGTGCTGGCCACTGGGCACACCCATGAGACGCGGGCAGGAGGCTTCCCGGCAGAAACGAGGAGCAGCCTCCGGCTGGAGGCCCAGCTGAGGCGGGAGCAGGAGCATAACCGGCCACGCTTCACGTGTCTGACGAATGATCGGTATAGGAACACGGAATGTCTGTGTGTGCTGTGTGTATGCATGTTTTGTGAGCGAATGCATGTGTATTTGTGTGCGCACATTTGTGGGTATATGTGTGCATTTGTATGTCCACAGTGCGTGTGTGCGTGTGTGTGCACTCGTGTGTGCAGACTTTCCATGGCCTCACAGAGCCCTGGGAGGAGACCCCCTGGTTGAACTCCTCTCCATGGGTGACGCGAGACGTGCAGTTGGCTCTCACATGTGTGCTGTTGGCTTGTCTGCCCGGAGGTGCTCCGTGTCCGTCCTGCCCGGGAAAGGATGGCTCCACGGAACCACGGAACTGCACCCGCCCCTTTGGCCCCTGGACTGTGCCCAATAGAAAAGCAAGGACACCCACTCCAGGAGAGGGCTGATGGGCAGTCCCTGAGCCCTGAACACCTTCCCCAGCCACCAGCCCCTGTGTCCTCCCGCACCCCCGGAGGCAGGACGGCATGATCCCACATCCCAAGGAGGACTCGGGCCCCCATGCACGAGGCAGCTCGCTCCGGGTGCGAGGGGCAGAGCTGGGCCTCACCGCCACCAGCCAGCACCTTCCTGACCTCTGTGCTCCGCCTCCTGAGCTCCAGTGCCATCGTGCTGAGGTGGAGGGTGAGAGAGAGAGAGAGGGAGAGGGGCCTGGCGAGGTCAGGCGAGCAAAGGACAGGAGAGCAACGGAGCTGGAACACGTCCCAGAGGCACCAGCAGGAAGTGAGGCTGTCACGCGGGTGCCAGGCGAAGGCCGTGGCGTGGCCCCGGGAGCAGGAGCGCCTGGCTTCGGGTCCTCAGCGGTGACTGGAGTGTGGTCAACGGCTGTCTTCCCCTGTGGTAACAAAATGCCATGCCACGTTCTCCCTCCCAGGATGCAGGTTCCTTTGTTTTTTAAAATTAGATTCTTTTTTTTTATTTTTAAAAATTTCAATAAATTTATACCCCTTCAGCCATCCCTCATACCCTCCACCTCCGGCCACTGATCACCGGTTCTCTGTCTCTTTGATCTGAGTGTTTTGTGGTGGTGTTTTTTTAGATTGCACGTTTAAGAGAAATCATATGGTATTTGTCTTTCTCTGACTTCTTTCGTTTAGCATAATACCCACTCGGTCCATCCATGCTGTCACAGATGGTTAATTTCCTCCTTTCCATGGTCTTGTGGCATTCCACCGTGTAAATGTTTCAGTCCAGTCAGATATTGGTGGGCATCCGGTTGCTTCCTTCTCGTTGCTACTGTAATTATCGCTGCAGTAAACCTGTAGATGGCTTTGGGTAGCACAAATACTTAAACAGCATTGGTTTCCCCACTCCAGGAGCACAGGATATCTCTTCATTTCTCTGTGTCCTCTTTAGTGTCTTTCATCCCTGCGTGTAGTTTCTAACACACAGGTCTTTCCCCTCCTCAGTCAGGTCTGTGTGTGGTTTTTAACATACGGGTCTTTTCCCTCCGTGGTTGTCTTTTTGCTGGCCCTTTAACTCTTTCTGACAACGTGAGTGGGCTTGTTTTCCCTCTCTCTGGCTGGTGGTTCTCGTCAGTGGAGAGGCAGCAGCGTTTGCGTGTTGACCTTGCCCTGGAGCGGAACGCAGGTGTCTTTGGCCACACGTGTCAGCCTGGGGCAGGCGCCTCCCGAGTCCTCTGTCCACATTGCTGCCAACTTGGTTCTTCTTGTCCCTGAGGCGCACGCTCCACGGTGGGGAGGGTGTGGTGACGGCGGCGTGAAGACACAGGCCTGTGACCTCCCCACGGCCATGGAAGGCAGGAGGTCTCGGTTCTAGTCAGCTTTGTGACTTTGGGTGAATCTCTGGGCCTCGTTATGCTCACCTATAAAACGGGCAGAGTAAGCTGCTTTGCACTTCACAGAAAACCAGGTGAGACAATGGGGTTTTGGAAAGTCATATGCAAATATTGAGGGTTGGGATTTGTCACTTTGGATTTGTGATTTTTTTTTAGAGAAGAAGGGGAGGTAGAGAAAGAGAGAGAGAGAGAGAGAGAGAGAGAGAGAGAGAGAGAGAGAGAGAGAGAGAGAGAGAGAGAGAGAGAGAGAGAGAGAGTCATGGATAGGTTGCCTCCTGCGTGTACCCCTCCTGGGGGATTGAGCCTAAAATGTTGGTATGCGCCCTGACTGGGAATCAAACCCCCACCTTCGTGTATGGGATGATTCTCCGCCAGCGGCCAGGGCGGTGGGTTGTTGCTTACGGAAGAGGAGGCATTGGAACCCCCGGACAGCGTGAAACAATTGTTTCAGCTGATGGAGAAGGAAAGCAAAAGACCTCCTCAGTGACCACGAGGAGACTCAGGGGACCTTTGGGGTGTGTGTATGTATGTGGGGGGGAGGGTGGGTCCCCCCAACCCTGGACTCTGGCCGCCCTAACTGCCAGGGGGCCGGGGCCTGTGCCGGGGCCTGTGCAGGCCGAGTGTGCCCCCTGACAGGGGTCTTTTTCTGGGGAGAATAGTCTGACTGCTGACTTAGCTCTTGGTCTGACCAGCAGGCCTCAGAGAAGCGTGGATGTGGCAAGATTGGCCTCCCAGAGTGTTTTTTTAAATGTGTTTTAAAAATTGATTTTAGAGAGAAGGAAGGGAGAGGGAGAGAGAGAAACATCCATGTGAGTGAGAAACATCGATGAACTGCCTCCCACATGCACCCCAGCTAGGGATGGAATCCACACCTGGTTATGTGCCCTCACAGGGAATTGAACTGATGACCTTTGGTGCCTGGAATCATGCCCAACCCACTGAGCCACACAGCCAGGGCCGCCACCCAGGACTTTTTGGTGGTTTGGACACATATACAGTGAAGTAAACGTTTGACTTTACAAACAGTGAGGTTTGGGGGGGGGGGGGGAGCATTAAGAGGAAGGTGAGCTGTTTAAAAGCCTGTGGCTTCCTCCTGCTTCCCAGAGTTCATGACCGGCCACTGTCCCTGAGCTGTGGTGACCATGGCTAGCTCATGACCTGCCTCCCGCCTCCCTGCTGCGTGCTTCCATCAGTAAGGGGTGAGGGGGTGGGAGAGGCAAAGGAAGTCCAGGAGCTCCCACGCTTCTCTGTGATCTTCTGTAAAAAGGAGCCACGTCATCCACGTGGGACATGGCCTCACGGAGGATAGGATGCCGAGAGGGCCCTGTGGGGCTATCACCTCTTTACAGTAAAGGGTGGGGATCTGACCCCAGAGGGGCTTAGCGGGGACCTGGAGTCCTGCAGGCCCTGCCCTCTCCCTGCCCCTCCCCCCC